TACTTTGGTCCCAGCTCTTTGCAGGTCATTCACTAGGTCCCCCCATGTGGTTCTGGGATTTTTACTCACCGTTCTTGTGATCATTTTGACCCCACGGGGTGAGATCTTGCGTGGAGCCCCAGATCGAGGAAGATTATCAGTGGTCTTGTATGTTTTCCATTTTCTAATAATTGATCCCACAGTTGATTTCTTCACACCAAGCTGTTTACCTATTGCAGATTCAGACTTCCCAGCCTGGTGCAGGTCTATAATTTTGTTTCGGGTGTCCTTTGACAGCTCTCTAGTTTTGGCCATGGTGGAGTTTAGAGTGTGACTGTTTGAGGTTGTGGACAGGTGTCTTTTATACTGATAACTGGTTCAAACAGGTGCCATTAATGAAGGTAACGAGTGGAGGACAGAGGAGCCTCTTACAGAAGAAGTTACAGGTCTGTGTGAGCAAGAAATCTTGCTTGTTTGTAACTGACCAAATACTTATTTTCCACCATATTTTGCAAATAAATTCTTTAAAAATCAGACAATGTGTTTGGATTTTTTTTTTTCTCATTTTGTCTCTCATAGTTGAGGTATATCTTTGATGAAAATTACCGGCCTCTCTCATCTTTATAAGTGGGAGAACTTGCACTATTGGTGGCTGACTAAATACTTTTTTGCCCCACTGTAACTGCAGCTGAAACACAGACTCATCGAACCAGATAGCTTGTGTAAATTGTGGCCTCGGTTTCTTGTTCGTAGCCAACAGTGGTTGTACAGAGTGTGGTCTACAGTCCATCTGCTTTAAATTCATCAATTAAGTTGGTGCCGTGTGATTAGTTAATGCGCTGTTTGTCTTAACAAGAAAGGTCTGCCTCTGACAGGTTTCTTATCATTACACTTTTCAGATCATCAAATATATATTAATATCTGACAATCATATTGACTAAATCTTATTTAAGCAACAGATCAGTTCCCAACAATTCAATGCATCTAATGACAACTCCAACAATTGTCTATAATATGTGTTAGTGAATCTTCACTGCTGTAGATGTATTTGTTGGTTATGTTTTGGTTTCCTATGGAGGCAGTGATATGCTGTTAGAAGATATTGTGGTAAACCAGCCATAAACACCGTTCAGTGCTTCTCTGCATGAGAATAATGGAGCTGGCTTTAGCAAACTTGAGCCCCTAAATCTTAAGAACTTATTTTATAACCCTTTCCAGACTGACAGATGTCAATGACTTGTTTATATTAAGGCATGATGGAATGCTATTTACTATCTTTATGCAGAGGTGTCAAGTAACGAAGTACAAATACTTCGTTACTGTACTTACCGTATTTTCACGACTATAAGGCGCATTTAAACGTCTTTTTTTTCCCTCAAAATGTGCGGTGCGCCCTATGGTGCGGTGCGCCTTATGTGTGTTGTATCTGCGACTTTTGAGACCACCTCATTGAGGAGATGATGAAAGAGTGGCTGAATGTAAGGAGACCAGGTGTTTTTTTTCCACTCATCACCATCGCTGTTAATATGTAACTCCATGCGTGCCCATCTCACAGCTGATGTGAAAAACATGGGGAAACAAATTAACGCTGTGCTCGCTGTTCAACCGCTCCACATCGGTGTGAACCGGACCCAGCAGGTGCAGCAGAAGCAGCGAGTTTACATGCAAAGTCAATGGTTGACGCGCGTATAGGCGCAGCAAAAGGTCCCGCAGCGCGTTTTGAACAGCAGGAGCGTTTAAGCATCTGACGCACCGCCAACGCGCTGCTGCTGCTCGAGATGGAAAAATTGAAGTTTTGCTGCTGGACGCGCCGCATCAACCAATCAGAGAAGCTGATCTGGGAGCTGACAGCGAGACAGACACAGCGCTCTGATGACATATGATATTAACGCAAATGAAAAAGGCTGGATGGATGAGAAGATGATGAAAGGCAGGTGTATGTGAGGAGACCAGGTGCTTTTTTCCACGCATCACCATCGCTGCGTGCCCATCTCACAGCCGATGTGAAAAAAAGGTGAATCAAATGAACGCTGTGCTCGCCGTTATCCCGGGGGGTCTGACAAAGGAACTTCAACCGCTCGACATCGGTGTGAAGCGGCCGTTCAAAGTAAGGCTGCGAGCGGCGTGGGAGTGATGGATGACAGACGGAGACCACAGTTTCAGGATAAGTGGAAGGCAGCGGCGGGCAAGTTACGCCACCGTTAGCGGATGGATTGTAGATGCTTGGACTAACGTGTCTGCTGGCTCTATTGTTCAAGCTTTCGCAAAAGCCGGCATTATTTCTGAGGAGCTGCGCTGCACGGAAAGTGACTGACAGCGCAGAAGGGGAAACTGGCATGTCTGATTTAGCGCAGCTGTTTTATTCAGAAACAGAGGATGATGACTTTGATGGGTTTGATTAATACTTTGTAATAAATACATGAATAAAGCACAAACATACTCAGTTTTGCTCCCGCTCTATTTTTCTACCTGAAAACTCAACAGCAGCCTCTGGGCGGGTCTCCTCCTCTTCACCGCGGCGGCTGGCAGGTGTTTTTCCATCTAAATAATCTAAATCTTGCAGCTATATTTGCTGTGATCAGTGGGAATAAAGTAGTTTTAATATGTTTTTAAGTGAGAAAGGCCACCTGAAAACTTAATTGCAGTCAGTTCATCCAGATTATCTATTTCTGTCGGAGGCGCTCAGACCCCCACATACCAGCGGTGCACCGACAGCAGAAATCCCTTCAACAGCAGCCTCACCGCGGCGGCTGGCAGGTGTTTTTCATCTAAATAATTTACAGTGCAGGCACCAGGATACCGGCAATAAAAGCGAACATATTCCGTCGGCAGGTTTCAGGATTTTAAGTTAATTTAGGAGTAATCACAGCGCTGTGTCATCTGCGATGTGTCTGTCTCATGGCCAGCTCGCAGGTTTGATTAATACTTTGTAATAAATACATGAATAAAGCACAGTCATACTCAGTTTTGGGCCCGCTGTATTTTTAAAATACGCAGTAGAGCTATTTAAAGGTAGTAGAGGACGTGTACCTGTATATAAAAAATGCGCCCTATAGTCCGGTGCGCCTTATGTGTGTGTTAAATAAAGAAATGGGACACATAACTGAGACTGCGCCTTTTAGTACGGTGTGCCTTATGGTCGTGAAAATACGGTAAGTACACTTTTTAGGTATCTATACTTTACTCCATTACTTATTTGTTGTCCTACTTCTGATTTCTACTCATTACATTTTCACACAAGTATCTGTACTTTCTATTCCTTAAATTTTTTAAACAAGCGTTACTCGTTACTCTTGGCTTCGGTTTAATGTTTCTAAATATTTATTTCACATCATGTGCGCCATCCAATGCAGATCATTGGCACCATCCACATCTAGTGAAAACTAGTGTGATTGGATGAGTCATATAAGGTTAACACTCATTGGTTAGCTAAAGGAAATCATCAGAAGGAAGCAGGTGTTCTTCAAACTGTAAACATGAATTGTCTATGCCATGCTACAATGTTGGATTCAGAAAAAGATGTTGAAATGTCTGAAAGGTCGGACACAGGCGAGAGCGTATCGGGAGATGAAGACCAACAAGACCTCCCTCATCCTTGTCCCTATCTTAAAGAATTTTTCGAAAAATTTAGCTTTCAGTTCATATAGTGCCATCTGGCTGTTTTGTTTTTAAAGATTACTTTACATGAGGTTCACTTTTACTTGAGTAAAGAGGTCCAGTTGATACTTCAACTTACCAGAGTGTTTTTAAACTGCATTATCTATACTTCTACTTAAGTAACAAATGTGTGTACTTTTGACACCACTGTCTTGTCCACTATGCCTACTTCATGTAGTGATGCAGGTTCTAGTATAGAGATTACTTTGGTCAACTGGTATGCAGAGGCGTAGCCACAATTTTTTTATAAGGGTGGACAGCCAATAACGAATGAACACTGAGGGGTGGCCAAAAGCAGATACGCGCCAGAACCTCAGGGTCAAGCCAAGGATAAGACAAAATATACTTTCCTACCGCCTTTGCTAACAAATAAACGCACGTATTTAAACATCCATACTTTTAGGTTTGAGTTCTGGGATGTAAATCTTTTCCTTTGTCATTACTTACCTACTTGTATCAATAATCATTCTGCATAAAATTGATATTTACAAGTACTAATATCTACATAAATTGATTATTTAATAGGTTTTTATTAAAGTAGTTATCTATAAGTTCACTGAAGACTCCTAGATGACTTTCTCTTTACCCCATATAACACAAAATCGAGTTCTGAAAAGAGCATGAATTCTGTAGTTATATTTAATGTTACTATATTGATGTGCATAACAAACCACAGTGTTTTAGTTGTCAAGAAATTAGGAATACATGAAAAAATAGTAGGTAATATATGAAAAATTTAAGCATTACTGCTGCCACTATCTGTGTTAGAGGGGGAAAAAATGGCAGGGGTGGCCAATTATTGGCTAAGGGTGGCCATGGTCACCCCTGGCCCCCCATCTAGCTCCGCCTTTGCTTGTATGGTATTAGTTGGGGGTAAGTCTGCAAAATGGGTTTAATAAAAGTGTATTTATTACTTGCATTTGCATAAAGCAGATAATATATTAGTTAAAAAGATTAAAATAAAACATTAATCATTACATTGAATTATAAAAAATGTATTAAACTGCTCTAAGGTTGCTTTTAGGAAAAGTACCATCAGAATGTGCCCAACTGAAAATACTCATGTGAGTTTTCATCTTCCATGGTTGGGGTTGTTGTTAGGTGTGAGTCCCGTCCTGCTTCACATTATGGAACAACTGACAGCAGAGGCCACAACTGACACGCAGCAGGAGGATCACTCTCCCTGCCATCCACACATCGCACATCAATGGCTGCAGGATAAACTATAACTAAAACGCCTTTAACATGGAGCTTTTCTAGCAGAGGAGAAAATGCAACGTGATAACCCCCAGATCCAGCAAGATAAAGAGGTTTAAAAAAATCTTTCATCCTGAGAATGTCTAATTTTTGCAAGCTCTCCTTACCTGCTGGTTGTTTTTAATCCTTGTTGATATTTCTGGATTGGGCCGTTAGACCTAGTCAGACTAGATATCCAACTTCTTCGGGCCGGTGATGTGTGAGGAGGAGGAGGTGGTGGTGTTGTGGCAGATTTGGCTCCCCTCAGCGATTCAACTTTTCCAGCAGCTACGCTTCCTCGCGGATTAAAAAAAGAGTTGCCTCCTTTTTAATGAATCCGTAGATAAATGAAGCATGTTGACGGTAGGAGGCGACCCGATCTGGATCTGCGTACGGGGAGCTCTCATCACTCACGGGACGAGCCGTGTCGAGCTGTTCTGTGCCTCCCCGAGCCTTCAAACATACAACACCACCCACATTTACAGAGGAGTGCCCCGCGCATGCCTGATAAAAAAAAAATGGAAAAAAAGGAGTATACGTGTTGGTTATTACCCACCATAATACACATTGTTTTCTACTCTTTTAAGAAAATAAGCATATATTAAAGAGATAAAAATAAGAATTCTGAGAAAAAAAGTCAGAATTCTGACTTTTTCCCATATTAAACTGAAATAATATATAAATCATCAAACTTTTTTTTTTTAAGTGGCCCTAATCCTCTTCCATAAAAATCTCACATGCAAAAGAGATTTTTTTTTATAAACCTGTGTTACCAACATCTTAACTCTGCATGGTGAAAGGAAACTTGGGTCTTCCTCCAGCCTTATTTATCACTGTTACAGTTATTTTTAATCCTTTTAAATATTGCAAATTTTGTTCACACCTACCCAACTGTAATGTTGTTGTTTTTTTACCTATAAAGACTACCATACATTTCAATTGCACGTTTTTTATGACTTTCTCTTTTTTTTACTTTTGAGAGTATCTAAGAAAATCACATTATAATTTATTCTGTGAAAACAGGATACCGTGCGTTATTAAAGTCAAACAGTATGCTCATTAAAGCATGTAGTCACACTGTTTCTGTAGTGTAATAATAAGTATTGAATGTATCCGTTACCGGATTAGGTCAATTTGAATATCTTTATTTAAATTGTGCAGAATCTGAAATACACACAATAATAAAAATAGCTTTATTTGTTTCTATTATTTATTGCTACAGCTACAGCGGTCTTAAACACTCCATAAGTTCAGCGCTACATCATCAGACATCTCAGGTTTCCCCCTTGTAGTTCATTGCAAATTAAATACTAGTGTGATGTCAAGAAAGAAGTTAAAAGAAGGACATCTAAAGGCCTCCCCATTAAATGCTACAGAATGCATTAAAAGGCTTTATGCCTCTTCTACTAAGGGGAAAGAGGCAGCCAGTTAGGGCATAGAGCTTGGAATCCTGAGGTTCTGAGTTCGAGCCCCAGTCTCACAGACTGCCATTCTGGGTCTCTGAGCAAGACCCTTAACCCCTGATTGCTCCCTGGGCGCCGCACAATGGCAGCCCACTGCTCTCCACGAGGATGGGTTAGTTGCAGAAGTACATTTCTCCAATGTGAGATTAATAAAGTTCCATTATTATTATTATACAAAAACAGTTTGAAGTGCTGGTTTACTGCCACAGAACCTGAAATCAACATCAGATTGCACACATAATCTCTTACATACAGCGAAAATATAATGTCAGCAAAAATGTCAGAAATAACACCAATCCATCTACCTTCTATAGCCACTTGTTCTTCAGGCCCTTGAGGGGCTGGTGCCTATCTCCAAGAGTCACACAGTTACACCTAAAGGTAATTTCTAGACATCAGTCAAGCCAACAGCAAGGAGTTTGGACTGTGGGAGAAAGTCAGACTACCCAGAAACAACACCATGCATGCACACGGAGAACATGCTTGGCAATAAGCTAAAGAAAATATTTATTTGATTTGATTTTCAACAGCAATTTCAATCTAAATCAATGCATATATGTTTGTTGTGATAAAATATCTGTAAGAACTGTGGGATTTCTATTTTTCTGATTCAGTAAAACCAGGATGACCATTTCCTTAGTAGTTCATTACCATTTATGCATGCTCAACACATCACAGAGCTGCCCAGTAACCAAAAGAGGCACACTAACATTTTAGGAAGTAACATAAGTACATGACATGTGATTTTAATTTTTCTTCACTTAGTGCAAAACCAAGTACTTCTAGTCAAGTTTTTAAAAGCATTACTCAGATTTTTACAAGCTAAATAACTCCAAGCTGAAACTATTTTACCCTCCTCTCTTATACTGCTCTCTTTTTAAACTCTGTAATTTGGAGTGACAGCGACACTAGAATCAAAACTGTTGGAGAAACTTAATCACAGTCCTCAAAGAACAGATTACAGGTTTGGAAATTGCGCATATTTTTCCTCTCTACTGCTTACTCTTGGTTGTGGTGTGAAAAGTTAAATCAAGTTTATTTTTTGCTGTGTCTGCAGTAATGACAGCTTCCTCATATGTGATCCTGTATGTGCAAAACAATGGCAGGAAACAAAGGAAGTAAGATGCTGCTGGCCTCAAGATCACATAAGGAAAAGGAAAAAGATACAGGAGAGGTCCAATATGTACTGAAGAGGATTAGAGCCACTGGAAAAATAAAAAAAGTTAACTGATCTTTTTATTTTATTTCAGTTCAATATGGTAAAAAGGTCAGAATTCTGACTAATCTCAGAATTCTGATTTTTTTTTTTTTTTTTGTAGAATTCTGATTTTAATCTCAGATTTCTGACTTTAATCTCAGAATTTCTGAGAACTCCCATATTAAACTGAAATAATACTCAAAAAACAGTTAACTTTTTTTTTAATTTTTTTTCAGTGGCCCTATTCCTGTTCCGTAAATATGCTACATGCAAAAGAGATTTTTTTTTGTCAATTTGTGTTACCAACATCTTATCTCTGCATGGTGAAAGGAAACTTGGGTCGTCCTCCAGCCTTATTTATTGCTGATAACCGCTATTTACATCCTTTAAAATATGACTTTCTCTTTTTCTTTTTAGAGTATCTAAGAAAATATGATTATATTTTATTCTGTGAAAACAGGAAACCGTGCGTTATTAAAGTCAAACAGTATGCTCATTGAAGCATGTGGTCATACTCTTTCTGTAGTGTAATAATAAGCATTGCATGTGTCCGTTATCAGATTAGGTCAATTTAAATATCTTGGGGTGCATTGCTATAAAATCTTAAATACACACAATAATGAAAAATAGTGTTATTTGTTTCTATTGTTGATTGCTATTAGAACTCCTGATTATTTGATATTTTTTGTATTCTTTCTTTACTTTTTGTCAATTGTATCCAGCAACTGTGGTTTATATTTGAACTGGGGTGGATTTTTTTCTCTAATAATAGGTCTTTTCATCTTCTCTTAATAATTTATTTTTTATTTATATATGCTTATTACAATGGGAAAATCAACATTTTGGAAACAAGTACATTCTTTGTACCATTTCAGTTGATTAAGAAATGAGTGAATAAATACAAATACATGCAATTTTTTTTTCTTCAGCTTTTATTGTCATTACACTTTCACAAGTACAGAGCAAAGAAATGAACACTCTGGATTTAACCCATCCACTTGGGGAGCAGTGGGCTGCCATTGTGCGGCGCCTGGGGAGCAGTGTGGTGGTTAGAGTCTATGCCCTAACCACTAGGCCGCCACTCCCCCCGATGTTTTATTATATTTCACTTTGTGGATATCAACAAAACACAAAGGTCTTATGCCACTGCATTATCTTTTTTTTATCATACTTTGTGGCATGTGGCTCTTAGTAAACCCACGACTGAAGAACTTGTTTCATTAACTCTGAGTCAATGACAGTGGGTAGAAAAGTGTAGGAAGAGCCCTGTCACTACTTTCCGCTGTCCTGCTGGTGGGCTTCATTGACGCCACTTTCGGCCAAGTTTACACAAACGCAAGATTGACCTCACTCACACAGACAGTTACTAAAGCCGGGAACTGTCCAGATCTCTATGAAACGCTCACTCTGTCCATTTAACAGGGGCCACTTTCATCAGAGGGCATTATGTGGGTCTATTCTTTTGTCTCAGTATGGAGCGTCACTGACGCTCAGGCAGAATACATTAGCTCTGAAACAATAATTCTGCTGTGTGGTTTTTCTGAGAAGCATCAGCTGTGAGGAAATGTGTATTAGTGGGCAAAAAAGGAGAAGGACTAGTCTACTGATGTTTGTCAAAAATAATCAAAATGCATGACTAACGTCAAATGATTTGTCATTTTTGACCAATTGTTTATTCATTGCAAACACCGTTAGATAATGTAGCTCATACATGATTATTATGCAAGTAGGTAATCAGTTTATATTGTCATGTTAGTCAAGCTGAAATATTTTCTTTTGTGATTTGTGAGTTTTCCAGTGATATATTTGTTATAATAAAATAAATGAAACAAGGGTGTTTCAGAGATTTTATGTGCGTGTTTGTTTCCTTTAGAGAGGGTCAAATCTTCATAGGGTGCCCAGCAAAGTGCGCTTTTCCTCTTTCCTGTGCGTCAAATAGGAGCTATTGTTAGCCTGCAGTGTTTTTTTTTTTAAATAACTCTTGATATTCAATATATAGAAACACATCAGTCTGCTGATTTTATTGCCACCAAATGAAAAAAACAAACATCTGGAAAAACGTATTTTGTTTTTTGTTTTGTTTTTTTAAATAATAGACATAAGATTTTATATTCCTCAATGAAAATTCCTCTTTTTACATTTAAACCTATTCAATTTCATAGCCTATTTATTTTATAGCCAGTTCTAAATGTTCTTTAATTTAAAACAAAGCTTTACAAAAATATGCTTAATTGCACTTTGGTCCTTAGAAAAAAAATCTGAAGCCAATATTAGCCATTAAAAGCTTGATGGATCAATGTGTCTCTACATGAAGAAATCTCACTATTAAAATAGATATTCTGTTTAGTTATTTATTCATTAAATAATTCCTGCTTATCCACAGTCAATAAAATTGGGATTTAATCACTTGTTAGATTATTAAAAATATTCATTTTGTCATTATTCAACACTGTATCAGATACTAGACCCAGTTAATTGCCTAGAATCTTTTCCTTAAACATGTGCAATAGACTTATGCATAAAGCACAACTGGACCATCAAAGATAAAAACCTGTTAATTAATAGTTTGCTTATGGATCATCATTTGCACCACCTCTTGGAAGGGGAGGATCAGTATAAATACTGATTTATAAACCCTGTAATGATGATTTAATAATAAAACAGTGATATTGTTTGGAGTTACTTTACCTCCATATTGTTGGATTACGTTCACATATCCCCTTAAACCAAAGGTTTCAAATCTAAAGATTGTCTATGAAGTTAGTTTGTTGATGGTTCATTTTATTCAGACAAACCATTTGTTGCAATGAGCACAAATACTGCAGAAGTTATGCGGCCAGTACAAATACTAATTGAAAACAGAGGCAACATTATTTAAACCAGATGGAGAACAAACAGCATGATTGGTAGGAATTATAATTTGGTTACAGAGTTTTCCTTAAACAACAGTGACATCTTGTGTTGAAAGCATTAGTAATGCACATAATAAAAAAAAAAATCCCAGTAGATAACAGTAATAATAATAATACATTTTATAATTATAATTGGGGGCTACATTATGAAGTATCTATTTTTGTTATTATTATCAACATTTGGCTTTTTTTTTAAACTGCTGTTAGTTTTAACGGCTACATTATTGTTAAAACATTTAGAAAAATAACTAAAAGTCCTATCAAATTGTTTGAATTTTTATTTTTGCATTTTATTTCTTGTAAGGTTTATCACCAATCCGTGAAAAAAACATTTCAATTAGCATTGTATTTTAAAACTTAAAAGCATGCACCATCATGTGTATAACTATAAATTGGTCTGTGTATCTATAAAAAAAATTTCAAGTGATTCTTACCTTTATTATATTAGATATGTGTGTCATCACTTTCAAAATCAATATTAGATTTATATTTATATATATACATATGTGTGTGTAGATGTTTTAAAATCATTAAATATTCCTTTTTACAGTATTTATGTTGTTTTTTGTGTTTATTTATTATTTTGTATCTTTCTGAACATACAATGTAAATCTGAAACAACACTCACTGGAAATAATTCAGAGATGATAGAAAATTTTAAAAACATTATTTTAATTTCTTTTACAATTCTCCTCAAATTCTGCGTGACTGCAAAAAAAAAAAAAAAAAAAGCTGTTGTTTTTTTACAGAAACAATTGTGTTCATACATAAACACTGTTAGATAAATACATTGGACTTTAAACAATTCTTTCATAGATGAGAGATGTATAATCATCAATGAAAATAAAAAGTTTTTATTGTGTAATTACCCTAATAGTACAAAGATATATCATGAACACATCATTTAGATGATCAATATGCTGGGGTATCGATTAAGTGGGGCCTTCTCTGTGTCTCTGGGTTATCTTCTGTATGATGTCTGAGTTTTTCTGCATGTTTCATCTTGGGCCAAGCTTCAGTGAGGCCTTGTTGGCAGATATGTTCTTCTTGCCATGATGGTGCTTCCCCTTCAGGTTTTGTTTTGGAGCTTTTTTCAAGTAAAAATTAAGCTGCAAGAAAAAAAAAAAAAAAACATTCATGTTTTTGTTGCCCAACTTAATCTCTTCTGAAATGTTTTAACCCAGAGACCCACCTGGATAGCTTCAGCTGGTCCCACTGTCACTGTATTGGATGAGGAAAGGTAACCTGGAGCAGAGGCTTTCACTGTGTATGTTCCTGGCAGCAGAAGTCTGAAATAGTCGCCATCCACACCTGGAGGAAACCCAATGTTTTAAAGGTTATTTCACATCGTAATTTACGGATATACTGTTCAGAATTGCAAACATCTGTCATGATCCTGCTCTTTGTAGACATTTTGGTTCTGTTTAAGTTTCCTCTTGAGTTTTCATAAAAAAAATTATTTATTTCATTCTGTGTTTTCTAGGTAATTGGTTTCTTTTCCATTTTGTGTCAATGTAGTTGTTGTCTAGTTACATTTAGGCAGTTTTGTGTTTTGTGCCCCCTTGTGCCAGTCTCCTTTCCCCTAGCTCCCTTCTAGTTCCTTCTATCCACATCTGCTCTCAGTTAGCTCAAAATGTCAATAATGATCTAGAACTTTAAGCTGATTTATAGGACAATCAACAAACACATCTCATTTTAATTTTAGTAACACATAATATGTCCCCAGGGGCATAGAGAATAACCTAAACTACAGAACAAGAATTATATATGTATTTTTGTATGATAAAAATATAGTCATAGAAGATTACATAAACCCATTATAAGGACATAGATGCCATGTTGAACTGTCCATTTTCTTAATGAGAGATGATCGTACAAAACAACTTTGCATCTTCTCTAACCCACAATAGGATCAGGATAAAACTTTCAGGTGATATAATAGCCCAACAGCTACTTGGCTTAATGTACTCAGTTAATTTGTATGGAAAGGTCCTGCTTTATATTGCCTTCAACAGGCTCCTAGCATAAATCTGGATGTTTTAAAAACTGTCTTGGAAAAATAAAGAGTAAATGATTGTCAACTCCCTCTTAACAGTTCTAAACCTGGTGCAAGGCACCAGCAACACCAGAGGTACCACAGCATGATGCAGTCATCAGCATGACTCTAGTTTTCAAATAGTAAATCATTGTCTCCATGAGGCTCTTCTACAGAATATTTCTGTCTTTCTTGGTGGATGATCTAAATTTTGCTTGAAGATGTTGATCTGATGTGTGATGCGGTTCGCTTTGGTCTAATTGTTCAGTTGACATCAAAATGCCTTCTCTTTGGACAATATAACTTCATTAATCTATGTGATAGCAAACTTGATTGTCTCTTTAACTGTTCCAGAATACTTTAAATAATTCCATTTAATCTGAGGATGGCAGTTGGGTCAGGTAGTTGCATTTGAGCACAACAGGTCGAACAGGATAATAACCCCAGGCAATAATCCCTGGTATGCCAACATTAAACATCTGGAATTACACAGACTATTTACTATAATAAATGTGTTTGCTATATTTCAAAGCCAGAACTTGGCAATAAACCTGGGATTATAAATTGACTTTACTAGTTCTGTTTGGAACAACTGTTCAGAATTAACCCTAAACCAAGGCAGAGCCTTCTTGACTAATGTGCACCTGGCTAGAGGACTTTTAAACAAATATTAGTGAAGGAGTAAACCTGTATTTGAGGCTATACATATAACTTTGATTGTTGTAAAAAAAAATTCTGACCTGTGCACCAAATTATTACCTGCATCAGCAAAGACCCAAATTATTAAATCATTCATGATCACATTGAGTGTATTTAGAACTCTGGCCAGCACAGTATTTAGACTGGATTTATTTTGAGAATTGCACTTCTAAACATGTCCAGCAGAGGGAGTAGCCTTTCAGGAACAGAGTGCTCTTGTTTTCAATTTAAAAACAACTTAATGTAGCTGTTATTTTAAAAGTCACTTATAAAGTAACAGTATTTGTTCAAATGCCTATTTATGCAACATAGACTGTATTCTATATGTGCAAGTGTTTCTTTTTATGTTGTGTAAATATCTCAATTATCAAAACAACTTAAGAAATGTTTACTGAATGGTAAAGAAAATTGAATTTCTCTTTTGCCTCTGGATATAAAAGATCAAACAAATTACCCTTAAGATTAACTAAAAATAAAGGAAAATAACCAAACTTACATGCACATTAGTAAGTATCTCAAAGCAAATGCATTAGGATACACAGATGCTGTATATTAAGTCTGATTTTAGCAGGTTTCTATAAAGATGAAACAAAGAGCAGTCTTACCAGTTGTAACATCATGGTTGATGCCAGCAACAGAGATCTCAGCTTTACTGATTGGGTTGTTGTTCTCATCATAAACCATGCCCTTTATCCCATGATGCACCTAAAAACAGGCACATTGTACTGAACAAATTTAAAGGAAAAAGAAAGTTTCTGTGGTTTGAATCATCTAAAACCATAATGGAAAGTATTTTACAACTGTTAACCAGCATTCAAATAAAGTCATACGGAGTCACAAATTACATTTCAAACAAACTTTCCAAAACAATAAACTTTCTGCAGACTCTGGGACCTTTAGTCTCTGGTTTCCCTACTAGCCACAATGAAAGTATTTTTCAGACTTCCTGCCCATTTATGTTCATCATAGTAAATTAGGAGCACATTTCCTCTTTAAACCAAACCACAAAATTCATTGGGAGGCAAATTTCTCAGAAACTCAAGCACCAAATTTAGAAAGTGAGTGCATTCTTATAATTTAGTGACAAAATTCAAACCTGTTCGAGGTATGAAATCAATGCTTCTCGGTTGCCGAGCCATTCTCTGGGCAGCGCCGACTCTGGGGGAAACTTGTCACAGCTCAGCTCTAGAGTGATCTCAAAGCAGTTGGTATAAAGGTAGTTGAAGTCCTGCATGCCTAAAAGATAAAGATATTAATATTGTTAAATTTCAAAGATAAATTTGCCTTTAAAGTTTAACGTTTAACTTACAAACAATATATAAAATGTGAGGCCCACGAACATTTTTCTCAGTTCTTCCTTTTTTCATACTAAATGTTTGAGACTGTAAAGCAAATGTTAATATAAGGTAGCAAGGAGATCAATAAATAGGAAAATAATTTTTCAAAGGATATTTCCTTTAATTTATTGGAAAGCAATGAAGACAGACCAACATAGCTCTACAGAAATCCTTGTAAGAAAAGTAACTGTGATTACAAATATTTCTCTGGCTCATTTTCACTATCATCATCCAGGCCTAAGTCTACGGACCTCTTGAATCAAATTGGAATCTGTCCGACAGCATAAGGAAAGTTAAAATGCCTCATAAAGTAAAGTAAAAGTCAAGAAGAGACACAAAACAAACTCATTGAGATCTATCAGTCTGGAAATTTTACTGAGTCGTAATTATAAATAAATTATCACTCATCTCTGGATGATGTAAACATAAAACAGGTTAAAATTGGAAGGCAACTGAAGATGTTTCAATTCCTGTTCCCTCTGGATAGGTGTTGAAACATCTTCAGAAAAAAAAGACAGTCTGGTTGCCTTTGATTTAAGCCTATTTTGTGGTTACCGAGTCATTTTTAAAGCTTAAGGACTCTAAAGAACCAGAGAGGAAGCGATTATGTACAAATAGAGAAAACGTGGAACTGTGGTGAACCTTCCTAGGACTGACTGGTTCACCAAACCGACTTAACATTAAATCAGTGGCTTATCCAGAAAGTCACAAAGGAATCCAGAAGATCAAAAGAAGTCAAGAACTACCCCTTATACAGTAATCTGCCTTTTATCCCAGTGCAATCCATCCTAACATGTTTAACAGTTTATGGTTTTATCCTTCTATCCTTGTTGATGTCTTTGATTATTGTTAATTGTGGAGATTGTGCTGAGATGTAGACTATGTTCTGAAAGCCTTTGGCTGCTGCTGTGATATAAATTTCCCCTTGCGAGACAATAAAGATTTTAACTGAACTTCAAGCTTCACTTACCTCCTTTAAGATATTTATTTTGGTTTAACGATAAAAAAGATTGTTAAAAAATGGCCTCTGTGGAGGTGTTCCCCAAAAAAGACAAATACTAAGTGTTGGAGGTGTCACATTTGATTAGTTGTAGGCAAAAGGTGAAAGTACCGCATCCCTCCGTAGCTGGAGCCATGCATAATGTGTAATTTCCATTACTTCTTTGTGCATGGTAGCACGATAAGGCTAATTAGGGGGGCCACATGCCGAAGGCATGGCCCACCTACTACTATCTCACATATTTATTCCGCGTATTATTAGGGGGGCCACATGCCGAAGGCATGGCCCACCTACTACTATCTCACATATTTATTCCGCGTATTATTAGGGGGGCCACATGCCGAAGGCATGGCCCACCTACTACTATCTCACATATTTATTCCGCGTATTATTAGGGGGGCCACATGCCGAAGGCATGGCCCACCTACTACTATCTCACATATTTATTCCGCCTCTAATTTATTCCCATGCTTACTATTCTTTCCCGCCAAACTGC